TGGTGGAGAGAGCATGACCGTTTGTTTCCCAATATTGCTCATATTGCGACATCTATTCTCGCCATCCCGGCATCCAGCGCCGCAAGTGAGCGAGATTTCTCATGCGCCGGAAATGTCATCCAGGAGCGAAGGAGTCAGCTGAGGCCATCAACTGTGGACGATATCCTTTTTTTACACAGTAATATAAAGCACCGCACCAAACACTAGTCTTCGCCTTCGCGTAGGATTTCCAATCGGGTAATCAAAGGAAAATGGACAGTGCACGTAGGTAGCCTATAAAACCCAATACTGTGCAGGGTAGCCTAATGTACATTTTATATAATATTAGTTTTATTAACACATTTGATTGTAAGTTGGTAAGGCTATATGTGGGCATGGCAATATCAAACATTATTTGAGTTTGGAGGTTAAGCTACTACCGCTCGTTTTGCTTATTATTAGGCTGTTATTAAGCAACATTTACATTTGGCTATGCCTTGTCGTTTGTTGTGGCAATAAACTTTTGTCTTTAATTTTGGCTATTTGACTGATTTTCATTCGGGTGCGGGTCGGGTGTCGGTATTTATTTATAGCGGGTCGGATCGGGTGCGGAATTTAATCTTATTTCTGTCGGATAACGGTTCGGACACGGGTTTAAGTATGACGGGTACGGGCGGGTGCGGTTTGTCAAAATCAGACCCGTACAGGACTCTGCTGCCAGGTGAAGCAATAATCATATAAATATTTTTTATATAAATCATATAAATAAATTATTATTTGACGTGACTTGATTACGTAATTTTTGCGGGTGAGTATTTCTGCGGTAGGGCGGTATAATTAAAATCTCTTCCGTTGGCCAAATTTATATCGTATATTGTTTATACTGCACAGTACTACTGGAAAGGTAGTTATTTTATATGTCATGACATATAAAAGGTCAAAACAAAAGGTATTATTCATAATATTTAAAGCCGAAAGTCAAGAAATTTGATGCCAAAAACTGAAGGACTAACCTTGGCCTGAATAGCATATGATGCCAAGAGAACTGCTGCTTCCGGAGAACAAAATATCTCTTCATCCAAAATCTGCTTCTTCACCTAAGGGGAGAAGCCAACAGTCAACACTCCCTGTTGTGGCATAACGGGACACGTTACTTTAGTTAAAGCAAAGTGATCCACACTGCCAAAAAAAAGCGACTAAAAAGAAGCCAACCTGTAGGAAGAATAGGTGTTGCGTTATCTCTTGAACAAGCTCTTCCTCCACTTTTTCCGGGAAAAACTTTGCTAGGAAATGAAACGTGATAGGAAACTCTTTCGGAACCTCTTGATCTAAAACCTGGGTGGAAAACACCCCCTGAAACTTAGTGTTTAGGAGAGGTCAAACTTTAAACACATATACAAGAATATAAAGCAATTTCATACAGTGCACATTCCAAAATCTTTTCACAGTGCATAAGAAGTAAACACACAGTATCACTGAGATACTCAATCTTTCAACATCAGGCAAACATTACGACAGACACTGCTGCTCCATCTCGCATCAAAACAATAACTCACCCGCTTCTCCATTTTCAGCCAAGCATAGGTATCTTTCACGGTATACCTGAGCCCAAAGAACCAGGTCTCCCTCAGTCCGATTGTGCGGCACACCAGATCAAAAAGGTCCTTTCCCTTCCATTTAACCTGCAAATCAACATGGAAGAATATCAGAAATGCTCAATCATTCATTCACTGTACAGCCAGCAGTTGCTGTGGTGATATAGAATCTGTTCCAGTGACCAAAACATCACATCACCATAAACATATAGTAAAAATAAATGACTTGGTCTCATCTTTGTCATCTATGCAAGAAACATCTCCTGGATGCCCTGGTACGCATCATCAGTGATGTATCCTGGGGTCAACAGGTGTTTCGGGTCTCACAACATCAGACACCCTCGCCCAGGCGACCCAGCCGGGGGTGATCAGGCCCCGACTTGCGTACCAGTAGCTACCCACGGATCAGCCCTCTTGAGCCACAGCCACCTTGTGGCTTTCTCTGCAGCTTCGCTCACAGCCTGGATAGCCCTCTTCTTGGCTGCCCCAGTCACCCCAGCCGGCCGAGGACTTTGCAGAATGAACGACCTGCAAAGCCCCTGCATCCCACTTCTATGGGCTCAAAGAATGTCCTCCAGCCCCTTCCCCTGCACTCCTGCTCTAGTTCCTGGTACTTAGCACGTTTCCTCTCATTGGCCTCCTCAATCCGCTCTTCCCAGGGCACTGTGAGTTCCAGCACGATCAGATGCTTTGAAGCCTCAGACGTGATGATCATGTCTGGCCGGAGGGATGTTGTTGCGATGTGCTGGGGGAACTTCAGTTGTTTACCCAGGTCAGCCTGTAGCTGCCAATCGGAGGCTGTGTTGAGGAGGCCAGTTGTTACCTGTGGCCACACCTGAAGTTTCTCTCCAGCCTTAATAAAAGAGATAACCTTCTTCAGAGCGTGATGGTGATAGCTGGTGCTGATTGCTGAGGCAATCCTTTTGGCAACTACTCTAAGCACCTGGTCATGACGCCAGCGATACCGACCATCGGCCAGGGCCTTTGGGCAGCTGCTGAGGAGATGTTCTAGGGTGCCTCTTCCAGAGCACAGAGGACAGGAAGGTGTCTCGCTCTTCCCCCACACGTGGAGGTTTGCTGGACGTGGCAAGGTGTCGTATACTGCCTGCACAAGGAATCGGACGCGGTGGAAGTCTGCCTGCATGATGTTTGCCCAGGTGACCTTGCGCTGCAAGGTACTCTCCCACCTTGTCCACGCTCCCTGCTACCTGAGCCCTACGGCCCTACTTACTCGCTCCTCCTCCTCACCTGCACGGACCTCTTCCTGGAGTAGCTTGTGTCTCTCCTTTCCCTGTGCCCTGCTGACCTTGGCCTTTGGGAAATACCCCAAGCCTGCTCTCCCTGTTGCCAAGACCCCCACCAGTGTCTTCTGCCTTAGGCGTGACTCTGCCACCTCCACTGCCTTCTCAGCCTTCCATTTCCTTACCATCCTTACCTCGATGCCTGCTAATGCCACCTTACAGTCCTTGGAATCCCTGAACTGTAGGGCTTCTCTTGCACGCGCCACCTTGAACTCTTCTGTGAGACCACTGAAGGGTAGCTGCAAGGTGTTGCTTGTCCCATACAGGGCAGCACTGGTAAGGCTGCGGGGAAAACCCAGCCACTTACGAAGAAAGCCACTGATCTTCCTTTCGAGGGATTCCACAGTTGTTATTGGGACTGCGTAGACAAGCAGGGGCCACAAGATTCGTGGCAGGATGGAATGCTGATAGATCCTGGCTTTAAACCTGCCAGGCAGGCCGGACTTATCCACCTTGGTGAGCCAAGCTCCCAGCTCCTCATTTGCCTTCTGGATGGCAGCAGAATCTTTTAGACTGGAGTCAAAGAGCTTCCCCAAGCTCTTAACTGGTTGTTCAGTTATGGATGGAATTGTGGTTCCCGAGATTGAAAACCGGAACTTGTCCGTCACCTTCCCCTTCTTCAGCACCATGGACCTTGACTTGGAAGGTTTAAAACTCATCCTTGCCCATAAGATGAGCCTCTCAAATCCTCGTAAGATCCACCTGCACCCTGGGACTGATGTTGTCGTGATGGTAAGATCATCCATATAGGCTCTTATCGGGGGCAGTCGAATCCCTGACCTGGTTAGTAGCCCTCTACACTCCACCTCAGAGGCCTTAACCACCATGTTCATCGCGAGGGCGAAGAGCGTAACTGAGATGGTACAGCCTGTTATTATTTCTTTCTCAAGGCGATGCCAGTCTGAAGTAACTGACCCGGAAGTTACCCTGAGCCTGAAGTTGCTATAATAATCCAGGATCAGGTCCTTGATCTTACTGGGAACATGGTGGTAATGTAGGGCAAACTCAACCAGTTTGTGTGGGATAGCCCCATAGGCATTAGTTAGGTCTAACCACAATACTTCAATTTGTACAAACAAGAAGCCATCTGGTTCAAAATAGTCCGCTATCATGTGACCCCAAAGGTTTAGCTGAAGCCAAATAGCTCAGACCACGGCGATCATCAATACCTCACAACTGAACTCCACTTCAGCATCCATGGTGATGACTTTCACTTTGAAAGTCTTTGGCTGTTTCTTCTTTAAGCCCAAGATCGACATTCTAGGGTCTCTAACTACCGAAAACATAAAGGGATATTAAAGAAAGCTCCACAAAATCCATAATTCCGCACAATACCATTTATGTTATACATTAACATCCTTCACAGAACTAGAAATTATTCATCGATGTTTTTTTTTAGAAAAAAAGATCTACAATCACAATACAGTTATCCACCCTTGTCTACAGAGGTATGAGATACTTAGAAAGCGTAGCTAAGTAAACACTGAGACCGACTTTAACCTGGTTCGAACACACGTCTGAACACATATATACACACAGGACAACACAAGCACAAAAATAGTTTTATAGCCTCAATAGCAAAGTGTTACAGTAAAAGTTTGGAAACTCTACGCGAAATACTACATTTAACTGGTTAAACATTTATGCTGTAACGACACCACTATAACGGGGTTAACCGTATACTTCGAACTTGTTTTAAATATTACCGATAATTGTATATGAACAATAAAATACAAAAAGTAATACTTAACCTTCACGGTGTTCTTTTTTTAATAATAATAAACAACAGGCCGAAAAATCCCCGGGTTAAAGTTACACGGAACGACCGCCCAGTGGGAACGGCAGACGGGCAGGAAAGTTTGGCAGCAGCCCGTCTATACGATTGAAACCGAGCTAAAACGGAGAGAATGCCACGACTTTCCCAATTCCTCCATGTTTTCTTAAGGGAGACTTTTCGGCAATAAGAACAGAAGATACGTGTGACTAACTCGGCTGTTTATCTGAGTTTTCTAAGTTCAGAAAAGGCTTTTGTTTCCAGCTCGGCTCGCTCTACACTACAGGTGGGACAGTGAACGTGCACTGATTCATGGAGCTGGAGGAGGGAGGAGGGAGAAAGGGAATCTGCAGACAGACTGCAGCCTTGGAGGTTCCGCTCGGGCTGGGAGCTCCGCCTCTCCCTGGTCTGCAGGCTCCCTCTGGGGCTGCAACCTGCTACAAGGCCTTGTGGGATCTCCGGCCAGCACACGACATCAAGGCAGACCGCCAAGCACTTCGAACGTCTCAGCCCGGACGGGATATTCAAGCGAGGGGAAACCACCACCGGAGCGCGACCTCCACCCACCGCAGATCAAAGCCTGTGTAGCCGAGTTAGTTAATATATTATTGAACTTCTATAAAACTTTTTCATTTATTTTTATTATTA